AACAGCTCTTGCAGCAAATGAGGCAAAGATCAAGATCTTATCGGAATACGAAAGTCGTGCATCCAAGGCATCCAGTCGCGTATCCACTCGGGATGGAATGAACTCCTACGTGGCATCGCATAAGGTTGGAGATTTATTACTTCACAGCAGTCAAATAGCCATCCCCCACGCGAGAAAGACAAGCGCAGAAGAAGAAGCATTCTCCAAAACGCACAGCAAACACACACTGTTACCTCCCAGCCATCGCAGACACCAAGTGCTCTACAGGATGTGGTCGAAGCGCTAACTAAGCAACAGAAGTTAGCTACGTTGCCCCCGCAGAACATTTCTGTGTTTAAAGGGGACCCATTAGAGTATCGGCTGTTCATGCGAGCTTTTGAACATGGTGTGGAGGACAGAACAGAGAGCGACAAGGATCGATTGTACTACATGGAACAATACACAAGTGGGCAACCACGAGAATTGATACGGAGTTGTCTTCATATGGAACCTACACATGGATATCAAACGGCTAAGAGACTGTTGGAAGAGCACTTTGGAAATGCCTACAAGATATCAGTGGCATACATTCACAAGGCTCTTAACTGGCCAACCATCAAGTCAGATGATGGAGAGGCTCTGCATGCTTTCGGCCTCTATCTTACTGGATGTCGTAATGCAATGATGGATGTGGAGTACATGGAGGAGTTGGATAACACGGCCAACATGCGTGCTATCGTTTCCAAGCTTCCGTACAAGCTGAGAGAAAGGTGGAGAACATATGCTTGTGGGGTCTTAGACAAGGCAAAACGCAGAGTCACATTTGCAGATCTGGCGGAGTTTGTCAATAAGCAGGCCAAAGAAGTTTTGCATCCATTGTTCGGTGATATAAAGGACAGCACCTTAAAGGTCCAAGTTAGAGGGCAAGTGGATGAGAGGTTGCAAAGGAAAAGTGGAAACAGAAAAGGATTCACTGCAGCTGCAACTATCACCACTACACAGGACGTACCCTCTAAAGAAAGGAACAAGGTCAGCGGGAAGCAGGTGTGTGCATTTTCCAAACCCTGTCTTTTCTGTCGTGGTGAAGAGCACACCATGGAACAGTGCAAGAGGATGAAGAAGTCACTCTTCACCATGTTTCCCTACCATCTTGAATTTAGTGGCCAAGATTGAAATCACTGTTCAGCCTAATCGCTAGAGACTGGCCACATGACTAAACCCTTTTTTTGTTACAGTGTACATATAGAATTTCCAAATGTGACTTTGAGGAGGTAGCATATCAGTGTACAATAGAAGATCCCAAAAGTAACATTAATCTACAGGTTAAAGTTCTTTAGGGAAAAAAACGTTAAATCTCAAGTGATTTTCATCTGTCTGTCCAGTCCCATCGTCCCAGTTTCTCATGTGCAGCCTTTAGAAAATTATTTGCCCACCCTGTCTCCTGTGTGTGTGTGTGTGTGTGTGTGTGTGTGTGTGTGTGTGTGTGTGTGTGTGTGTGTGTGTGTGTGTGTGTATTAGACACAGACCTGTCACGTCCTTTGGATACTTCAACTGTAGAAATTCCCCAATAACTAAAAAATAAAAAGTGTTGTGCTCTGTTAGAATCACTCATCCACCTCAGGAAGCTTGTTGTTGGTGTGTTAGGAGGGTTGATTCCAGAAAAGTGTAGTATTGTTCCCCCTGCTGGTTATCTATGGTCATTATTTCTGCATATGGATCCATATGAACTGAACTGCTCTATGCATTCATGCATCCATGTCTAACTGCACGGAGCAGTTCACTTTAAACCAGAATAGGTTAATATTTTCATGTATATCTCTAGTTTGCTGTGGTTTCAAAAAGCTTTTACACTGTTAGCATAAACTGTATACCAGAAAGTCTTAAATGATTCCGACATTTATGTTTAACAGCCCAAGTGCTCAATAGAAAAAAAGTACTTTTTAAAATAGTCTCCATTTAATGTGCTTGTTTTTTAAGTGCATAACTATATCACCAATCTACACTACCAGTCATCTTCTCATTTAATGTTTTTTTTACTACTTTCTGCATTGTAGATGCAAACTGAAGACATCAAATATATGAAGCAAGATACATGATTCAGGTTCATTTGTGCTGCCAGACGCTCATAGAGTACAGTCAGCTCCTTAAACCAGGAGTCGTGAATCATGTCAGGACCTGGTGCTCTCCAACTCTTCATGCTTGTGATCCTTTCTGGATGTCTAGCACTGTATTGGTAACTGGATCCTGTTCGTGGAGGTTGCTTAGATCTACTGATCATTGTTGTCATGTCTTGCATCCTTCTCCTGTATGCTCTTCCTTGGTGAGGCTGTTCTCATATTGTTCCCAGTGTTCTCCTGATTTCTGTCTCTTCTGTACCTTTTTAAGCAACTGGCCAAAGATGTGAGTGTTTGCTTGGCAGTTTCTAAGGCCTCCGGTATGGACAGCTTGCTTTATTTCTTAGACATCCCTTTCCTTATCACATCTTTCTGCATCTCTGTAGTTAGTTAACTTCCCTACATGCTACCTTGATCTTGGCCTCAAGTCTCCTTGTGGCTGTTCATCTTGCAACCAAGCATCTCTGTCACATCTTCTGCCGTGGTGTAGATCAACCGGTTGAGTTTGGTGATGGTCGTAGTACAGATTGTCCGTAATGCTACAATTGCATCTTCTGGTAGACCTACAGAGGGTACTTCTGGGTAACCAGCTACGGGCGTCCAGGTTTCCAGCTTTGCCCTGATCCTATCTTTTAGGTCAGCTGCTGTCGCACTCAACGCACCTTCTGTCATAGTAGGGGCTTGGTACCCAGCTTCAGGTGGGGGTGATGATATGTCCCCTTGTATACTACAACTAATATGTGTGTGTGTGCGTGTGTGTGTGTGTGTGTGTGTGTGTGTGTGTGTGTGTGTGTGTGTGTGTGTGTGTGTGTGTGTGTGTGTGGGAGCAGCACAAGTGGAGGGAATACAGTATAAAAGCCAGCACACTCATCCCACCTGAGACTGTCTTCAAATCAGTTCTTAGTGACTCCTCGTTGCCATTTTGTGGTCTCTTGTTAAAGACGTGCTGACACAGCAGGGTATCTATTGCTTTGGCTGGAAATATGACTGTGGGATGTGCTGCTGCTGCTGCTGCTGGTGATGCTGTTATACCACAAAACCCCATTATTACTTCTATTCCAGCTCCATCTCACATAGCCGAGTAGAACAGAGACACTGGTGGAATAGTAGCCTGATTGTGATTGATGGCTTCCCATTAGCAAGTCTGTTATCGCTCCGGCTGGGGGGAACAACTACTGAGTTGTAACACAACACATTAACCGAGTCTCTCTCCCTAGCCTCAGTAGAGAGCCACTTAAATAAAATATAGACCCTCTCTTCAAGATCCTCATTCTGTGTTCAAGGCACTCTGACTGTTATCCTGTCAGCTGTGATTTGCTGAGCATTCCCACTCCATAAACACATCATTAGTATTCATATTAACTGGAGCCGGTAGAAGAGATATGTGCGCTTTTCTGTGCGTCTCACTTTGCTTCCATTATGGTTACATGCACTGCAGCCTTTAGCAGGTCCGATCTTTTTTCATTCTCCATCTTTGATATGCTTTTTTTTCTTTGGTGCTCCTATCCTGTCAAAATGATTGAGTGGGACCAGAACACAGAGTCTCCTGCATTACCCCAACAAATGATCTGCCCTTTGCTGGCAGACCTTGGCCAGAAAGAAATCAATATTTCACCATTAAAATCTATCAGAGGAGAGTTAGGGCAGTGACTGTCACAGGCGACACTATCAAATCACTGCAACATTAAACCTGACACCTGCAGTACATGAGTAATCAATATCCAGTGGTTCTCAGATAATTTGTGGTCACCTTTAAAGCAGTGATGGATGTCTCCTGGGGTAGTGATTACTGTTGTGACACCGTTTAAGAGGGTTTAGACCTCAGAGATGTGCTGGAAATATAACACCATGGTTCTCCACTAAGGACTATTTCATTGAATTTAGTCTGTCGTGTACATGGGGTTTCAGAAAGGTGGTAGTAGGTTTTAGTGGGTTGACATGCGCCTACAGTTAGGTCCATAATTAGATTGACAAAGATGCAATTTTAAATCAGTCAACAGGTAATTGAAGTGCAGATTTTCAGTTTTATTTCAAGTGGCTTTACAAAATATTTGTGTTTATTGTTTAGGAAATTTCAACCTTAATAAATCCTCCTCCATTTTCGCAGTTTACTATTTACTGACAAACAGTTGCATGGGCATGTGAGGCCTGCTCATTTGTGAGTGAATCAGAAACAATATCTGAAGCTGATTCAAAATGCTGAATTTTTGTTGCAATTTTAAACATCAGTCCCAAAGGCATGTCAGTGAGACAGGCCATCATCACACTGCAAACCCAAAATACACCTACTAACTAACTAAAGTGCACACTCATGAGCATGTAGACATGTCATTGTTAAAATCTAAAATGATGCCTTTATGAAAGGACATGCAGAGGGTGGAAACCTCCAAATACATTAAAGATCAGGAATGTTAAATTACACTTTGCCTGAAAATATTTCAAAGAGCAGGCCAGAGAGAAAATTCTTTAGACAGAATAACTACAATGATGGCAAGAGAAGCTAATGATTTGTCAAACATGGTAGCGTGCAATGCTTTGGCATGAGCATGTGTGACTACCAGTGCAAACAGGGCTTTAGTGTTTGTTAATAACATGTCTACTGATAGATGTAGCAGGATGAATCGTGAAGCGTACATTGGTATACTCTGCCAAACATAATTTCATAAACAGATAATTACCAATTCAAGTATTAAAAACATTACATATTTAAAGTTATGTTAATTTTTCCAAATAATTTTTAGCCTTTAAGAAAGGGAACTATGTATAACAACACCGGAGCAAATGTAGATGTCCATGAGTTGCAGTTGCCGTACTTCTGCATCTAGCTCTCGCTGAGAGGAGCATAAAGAGAGTAAATGTTTTAAAGCAACAGATCATTTCAATGCAATGCTTTAACTCAACAAACACAAACTGTTTGTGTGCAGAGGTTGTTGCACAGTGTGTCTGCTAGCTACGCGTACAGCCGTGGTTTTTCACGGGGAGAGAAAACAACAGTAGCTAACTTGACTCAGAGACGTTATGTTCAAAGGTAAGGTCTGCTCAGTGGTGTTTGATAAACTGAGAATTTAAGGCTTAGATATAATGTCCTCATATTTTTACATTAGACATTAGGTCTGTGCATGGTACATGGTTTTTCATATTGTGGAACATGCTGCAAAAGAAATTAAGGTAGACTAACTGTGTTATTCACTGG